CACTCCTGCTAATTTGATCGCTCAAGTAAACATTTTTGCTGATTTTATCGTAAATCATTCAAGTTTTTCTCGCAGTATACTCACATTAATTTTTATTGTATTTTTCTTTTTAACTTCTAAGTAACAACTTGCAAGTTGCTGATACTAGCACATCGCTCGATATTCGATGATGTTATTTAATTTTAATTAGCGATTGTGGTTAGAAAGATCATAATAATGTTGGAACTCGACATACCGATTAATTTCCTCATAATTTAAAATATTTTTATTTGATAATTTTTTTACTTCTTCATTTTTATCGATTAAATTTTCTTAATTTATATTTAAAAGTAATTCAAGTAGTGGCGATATTAATTGATACTATGAGAATGTTTTAATTTAATTTAGGATACCCCTTAAATAGCACTTACTGCTCTTCCTATATAAATTGCTCGATAGAAACGTAATGAATAGCGTAGATTTATATTATAAATGATATTGATGAACATTTAAATACTTAAGAATAATTTATAATTGCATTCTGTAATAATTATATCACTCGAATTGTTATGAAATAATGTGTTTATTGTAGCATTGTACAATTCCCTGAAATCCCAAGAAGATGAATAAGCATATGTTTTCTGCTATAAATTAGTATTTTAATTGGTTTTAATTTGCATGTTAATTAAAGGTATAAATGAAACTAGATCATTATTTTACATTAAGGATAATCTATTCGTGTATATGTAACATAAAAAAAAAAAAAACAAAAATTTTCTTTTACAAAAAAGGTTAATCATGACGAAGTAATTGTAAGAAAGAATTAAATGGGTAAGGAGGAAAGTCGGAAGCTCATTTTCAAGTTCGGCCTGTGTAATTTCTTGTCCCCTACTGCCTTACGTGCAAACATATCCTTAGACGATATATAATTATTGCAATTTCTATATTGATTCAATGGATTCATTCGAAGGCGATTATTTGACATCGATCATAATAACGTTAACATTTTATATCGCACTCTTTCGTCAATATTCAATTAATATATAAGCGAATAGGCAACAAATTTTATAGCCATCCGAGTAATATGAATATTCGAAATTCTATGCATTTATAATACAACACATCTATGAAATCCTTAAAAATCATCAATTTTGTATTAATACGGCCTTACGTATAATGACGGCGTCTAATTTGTCGGGCCTTTCATCTTATTTTTGGCATCTGTAGGTGATAGTTTGCCGCAAAAGACCGGCTAATCGCTCCAAAAGTGGTTTCCTCATAATAGAACGCAGCACGCAATCTCGGGTCATATAATCGTGTACTTTTCATAACAATACTTAGAGGGATCTTACTTGGTGTTAGTGTGGTGTCAATTGTAACAAGAAGCTGCTGCAAAGTAAGAGCAATTGAATTAGTGACTTCCGCAGCGATTGAGGCGCTTATTCTTTTCAATGTCAAAGATGATTTGGAAATAAATATTGATCTTCTATAATAGATGGTTGATAGTTGATAATAATGGTGTGCTTATTAAAGATATTTATGGATTTTTCTTGAAACTAAAAACTTTATTATATTAATGATTTTCATTTATATATATATATATATATATATATATATATATATATATAAGTAAAAATTTGTATTGAGCCGAATTATAAATTACCCAGCGATTTATTAATTTTTTAATTGAAATGAATTATATGGATTTTATTATCTATTATAAATAAATTACTTATATAAACAACTATTAGAAACGTGATTTCTATTGATTATTTATATATTATATAATTTGTCAAATTTTTTGTCAAAAATCTTATCCTATTTGACTAATATTTTACTTTAATGAAAATGCATTTATTATTAGTTATTTTAATTAGGTATCGAGTAAAATAGACGTTAATAAAAGGAACGATTTAACATGTTAGAATATAATAATTCCCAAGTATTTTAATTAATAATTAATGAATCTATTTTATCTTGATAATTATAATATTAGATGTAAATAATTAAAAAATTAAATACTTCATCAAACTCTATTTTGGCGTAAAACAAATTTTAATGTATTAAAATGTAAAGAAATATTAATTAATTAAACACATGTAGAACGAATGAACCGAAGCTATTAGTTTTATGAAATTAATGAATTTTTTGTATCTGATAAATTTAATTTGAAGCTTAGTTTGTTTTTAAAATTTTCGTACGATTTACACGTAAAATGCTATTTTATATTAATATTTTTGTGAATTCATATTTTTAATATTTCAAGATAGTAAATATTTATGAATAGAATATAATATATTTATAAATAAAAAGTTTTACGTCCTTGCACATTACAAATGATAAAGATTTAAAGGAAAATTATAAAAATTAATAAGTATCGGACCATAAGACGCTTTGTCGTTATGTATTATGATTATTACGTCGATTAAACAAATGTGCATTATTTTCACTAATTTAATATTGCATACATATAATAGCAAATATATGATTATTTATTTTAGAATACAATTCAGTTTATGTGATCGGACATAATCTTTTACGACTTTTGTAAAGAAACAAAAAAAAAAAAAAAAACAAAAAAAAAAAACAAAAAACAAAGATTCAGTCAGAGAACGAAAATTGGAGCAGCAATTTTAGCAATTTCCTTAACCGAATGATCAGAAATAACTGCAAGTATAAAGATTATACTGAGTAATGTCATTAAAAGCAGTCCAATAGTAATTGCTTTAGCTGAATAAATGAATAATATTCAGCTCACTCGATAAGTCTTGATTTTCTCGTATCTGATAAACATTTTCTTTCCTACTACAGACAGAACAACTGGCAATAATATCTTTTTCTATTAACGCTAAGTCAAATTGGGATAATAAGACATTCTCTTTCTATACTCTAACTGCAAGACTTTAATTGTAATTATCGTTACTATTGTTGAAAATTCTTTCCCACGTAAATAAATATGAAATACGAATAGTTTTGATCTTCTTCTTTTTTTTTCTTTCTTTATTTTAATGGAGAATTAATTAAGGATTTTTAATACTGTATATGTACAATTTTATATTATATTATACATTGTATTTCAGTGAAATTATTTAGTTAATAAATTCATTTCACGTTTATAAAGATATTTATATTTTTATTAATCGTATTTTATTAATTGTATTCTATTAATTGAATTACAATCCTTAAATTCATATTTTGATTATCATTATTTATTAAAAAATTTAAGTATTTTCTTTTATTTATATTTCATTCAAATTAGTTGGAGTCATTGTTTAAAATATAAAATATTAATTACAATTTATTTATAAGAAATATTTTGAAAGTATACAAATAAAGATATTTAACATTTTTTATAAACAAAGTGTAATGTTTAGCTCTTTTTTATAATTAGTTCGTATCGATTGTCTATTAAAAATTATAGCTTTCATTTATAAATTGT